AACAACTTCTATACAACGAAAGGAGACTGCGACCACACAAAAGGCCACACCATCTTGGTCTTCATATATTGGCTGTATGTTTAAAAATTGGGTTCTGAAGAATCTCTTAATGAATTGATGTTGAGGTACCTTTCATTTATAAGATGTATTCACCCGATTTCGTTTAAGGTTAACCGCCCTGCGACTAATGGATCCTTTCTGATCTTTCGTCCGTCAGAGCAGGACATCATGCTTAATGATAGTTCACCAAAAATAGGAAGGCAAATAAGGTGACAAGCTTCAAGCCTACCTACTTATAGTCCAATTTGGTTCACTTGGGCATCTCATGTTTGGATTGGATATCCCATGTCTTGCTTAGATGTTTGCTTAAAAGTTATGTGGCTGCGGATTACATGTGATTTAGCTGCAGATTACATGTGATTTAGCTGCAGATGAAGCGTAAAACGGATGCAATTATGACCGAACAGTTGTATTCCCCCTTAAAACACAGTTTGATCCCGCTATGTTACCGCATATGATTGCGTTCCATTACTTGTGTGCTTTGTTAATGCATTGCTCTTGAAATTAGTGTGATGTGAGAATCAAAACCAGATTTTGATCTAATCAAGCCTCCTGTGGCTCGGTGGTACCTCTTGTTCCCCCCATCCTTCTAGTCCTATCCAATAGCCACAAGTAGTTTCCACCTAACTTCCTACACTCATTCCTTCTATTAAGGGTGTTGGCTGTTTTGTTGATTTACATCGCCTCCCTAATCTTTAGCTTATTGGTACAATCCTCATATCTAGCTAAGCGTTTGCTATTAGATCAATTAATCTCATGTCCTGTGTGAGCCATATGTTCTACAAACCCCTGCAGGCTGTTTTGTGCTTAGATACCCTCTTTTTTATGGGCCTACAGGTCTCTCACATACGCGCTATCGCATGAGCACAAAATCCTGTAATAGCCTGGCCTAGACAGAGGGCCAGAGTATATTCGAAAGTAAGACAAAGCCGATGAAAGTGTTATTTTCTCTTTACTCTAACATTCCTGTAGACGATGTCATGCAAGCCATGGAATCCTCACTAAATTAACACGCACGAAGTCAAGTAAAGGGTCAATAATTATACTGACCAACCTGCCGATGTATTGTACATATTTTACCTTTATTAGTAAACTGAACCAGCAAACACGTGGTTTAGCTATGAGATCGTGTTTGTCACAATTTTCTGCAAATAATTACATGACTCAATTTGAGGAACGTTAATTCAGGAGGCACTTTTAGTCCCTAAATTATTAGTTCAATATATGGACGACTACTTTACTATTTGACAATATTGCAAAGAAACTTTGGTGAATTTTAATCGAAGGTATAAAGACCAAGATGGTGTGGCCTTTTGTGTGGTCGCAGTTTCCTTTCGTTGTATAGAAGTTGTTTGACGTTGTTTGCGCAACTCGGTCATATTGGTAGGAATACTTAAAGGAACGCACCTAGTCCGGAGTCAATTTTATGCATCATCATTTCCAGAGTAGGACCGTGGACGTGGTACATTCACACGTGGGAATGGCACGTCTCTTATAAAACCTACTGTCAGCCCAGTAGCTCCCATCGCCGCCGCTTCTATCCTGTTTCTAGCTCGAATACCAAGTCTATGACTTCCCATGCCCTAGTCTCTTGCGTGTCAAACCACAAACATTGTGGTTCAACATTGAATCATGGCAAAGGCGTGAGCATGAAACTTACTCAGAGGCTTTAGCCTTGAGTTACTCACCCAAACGCAGGGGAGGGCGAATAACGCCTCCAGTGGCACAAATGGGGTGGCATGGATCGAGTGAAATATATGAACCAGGGAGGGGGCAGACAGATCTTACGGGACAAGAGAGAGACCGTGGTAAGACCTATGGAAGGAGTAGTGCGTAACAATATGGCAGACTCTGATCAACACTCCCAGCACAATGATGAAGGTGGGTGAGAAGACCAGCGGGGGGGGCGGAGGGTTCTCATGAAAACCACTCAAAAGGGCACACTACCACATTTAATTAAGCAAGTAAAAATGGTGACAGTGAAGGTGTGATAGGAGGATATAGGAAATTGTGAATAGGCCATGGCAGAAGGGGAGATACCATAACTGTTTATCACACGTTTGGTCAAAGAATCGGCTTCACTTACTTCTTTGACGATTAGTAATATTGTACTATGAATGGCGATTCTCGTGACGATGCCGACTACGATGCCGGCGAAGCGTCTGGGAATGTACCGCGTCCACAGTCCGACTTTGGAAATGATTATTCATACAATGGACTTCGGACAAGGTGCGTTCCTCTTAGTCTTCCTACCAATATGACCAAGTTGCGAAAACAAGGTCAAACAACTTCTAGAATGTTAGCTACTTGATATGCCCTTGCGTAGTTTCCTATGTCAACTTCTGATTGGACGATGTGGCGCCAAGCTTTGATTGGGCGACGTGAAATAATAAGTCAAGATTAGTCACGCACTCACACGATCTTTGCGCAAAAGCTTGTTGAGCCCTGGCTGACTATGGGATTTAACAAAAACCAAACATTGAATCGGAAAAGTGTGGGTATATGTCACTATAACGACTAATAAGTGGACTAACTTGGATTATATGAATGAGGTATGTTTGAAGCTGGCCATCTTTTTTACCTTCGTGTTTTTGGTGAATTATTATTAAGTGTGGTGTCCTGCTCTGACGATGTCCATCACATGACGGACCAAAGTTCAGCAAGGATTCATCGGGGTTGCAGGGCTATGCGCTGAGAACTGATTCGCATAAATCTAAAATCACAGCTCCAAGGTAATCCCTCTACAGCTTCCGGTGAGACCAACTTACGAAGCCTTAACATTCGCTTCTTCAAACGAAATGAAATTTACTCCAACATTGCCGATATACTTTTATTTTCTTCAAATTTTGCCTTCTAAATATATTTTTTAGTTGGCTACTCGACTTCATGATTGTCCTATCTCCAATTCTCCATTTGCTGGACGTCCTTCTGGCCCTTATTCTCATTTAACTTCTAACTGGTCGACAGCTCTACCTTCTCCTGATTCTGATGAAGCCGCTCTCTTTTATCTCCTAGATCTGGCTACCTTTTTTGATATGGCAAGGGCTGGCCGTTGGCAGGCGGCTATTCAGCACATGGACCAGCTTGGTCTTCTGCCAAGCACTACTATTGAGTCCACATCAAGCTCACCTGGACTTGGTGTCGATCAATGTGTAGCCCTATTTTCCCGGCTCTCGGACTGTGTGCGACGGCCACTGGCAGCTACAGCTATTCTGTGTTTGATGCGCTGTCTTGTTGCTTCAGCTAATTCCCTTATTCTCGGACCTGGACTTGGTCATGATTCTTCAGAGATATTGTAGGTTTTGGTTGTTTACTTAATCTGCTTTATTTTTTTCCCCAATAGATGTGATTTTAAAAGAATTTTTCAACTTTAGATTGATGTTATCTTGCTTATTAATCTTTTCTCAAATACTTCAAAATTAAACCAACCATTAAGCACCTTTAATAAACCTTTATTGTCAACATTTTTGCGGACAAAATATGCACTAAACCAAGTTATGAATTTCACTTAAAATAAATTTATGGATCTTAAATTTAGAGTATATATCAATAGATCGAAGATCTTTAATTTAGGCTTGCCTAAACATTTTTGGTTTTTGTATATCGCATTCCTTGCCATATCCGCTAAGTTAAGTAATCAAAGATTTTAAAATTCCTATTAACATTTATATTTATATCTTAAAGATACATATTCAATACTGTCCCAAAGTCATATTTTTTTACTTTTGAGTAGGATATAAATCTAATGCGTTGGATTGTGTGTGTATGAGAGATAGTTGAAGAGAAAGCTTATAGACATTTTTCATTATGAATAAAATTTAGATTTTGAAGAATTCCCTAGTAATATATTGTGACATGACTTTCAATTTCGAAGGAAAAGTTGATCGGCAGGAATTGGTGATAGGTTCTCATCGGAAATCGTGTTATGAAGGCTGTTATATCATGCGAAGAAGTTATCAGCTCACTGTCATGCGACCCCAATGCACCTGTGCTAAGCTTTTGTCTATACTGTGATAGGCATCATCAGAGCAAGAATCCATACCTTACGAAATAGAGCAAAATATACTAAACCAAGGGAAAAGATGGTCAAATGCAACTCTAGTCGCTTTTTTTACCATGATTTGGTTGGCTACATTAAAGTTACTTTACATGCTTGCAGATGAGTAAGCTAATTGACGAACCGGAAAAACATTTTGTGGCATCTGTTTTCTTGCACAAATAAACTAGCATGCTATCATCTAATAATAAATTATGCTTGTGTTTATGCTATATAATGTATGCTATGTATGTATGTAATACTCATGTCATGAGAGGTGCGATAGTCATAACAAGACTCGAGGCTAATCCTGCCT